TTTTTCTCTTGCAGATTCCAAGAAAAATACTACATAATCACAAAGTATAGTTAATAAAATGTTGATCCTAGATTACTACTTTCTTACTTTGTAAGCATTAATCTTCCTTATTTGTAGCCAGCCATGAAAGAAATTACAGGAGGAAAAAAATCACATAGTTACATACCCATATAATTCTCGAGGACAAAATTATAAGAGAATGTAATTATCCACATTTAATACCAAATTTTTGTAAGATCTGCAGGCACAAATATTAAGGGTCAGCTTGGAGGACTCTTGAATATGTTTCAGAGGATTGCTTGTTATGCATAGGAAAAAATCCTGCCAAAGGGGTTCAAGAAGTTGGTAAAAACTCCATGAAAGGACAGCTGTCACGTTCCATCTACCACTTACCAGAAGTTTGTCTCTGAACAGTGTACCATTTAACAGTATTAGAATTTGTTTCTCTTTTTGTGTCAACCCGTAACAATTATATACATTTATGGGGTACAGAGTAATGCTCTGGTACTTGTTTACCATATATAATGATGAAGTCAGGGTAATTAGCATATGTATCACTTTGGGTTTTGATCATTTCTTTGTGTTATGAACATTCAATATCCTCTCTTCTGGCTTTTTGAAAATATACAATAAATTACATAGTTAACCATATTCACCTTACAGAATATGTTGCAGAATACCAGAACTCATTCCTCCTATCTAGCTGTAATTTGGTATCCATTAACTAACCTCTCTCCAACCTCCGCTCCCCTCAAGCCCTTCCCAGCCTAATAACGGCAATTCTCTCTACTTCCATGGGCTCCATTTTTTTTTCGCTCCCAGCATATACAGTGAGAACATGCAGTATTTATTTTCTTGTGTCTGACTTATTTCACTTAACATAATGTCCTCCAGGCTCATCCATGTTGCCACAAAAGATAGAATTTAATTCTTTTTTAAATGGCTGAATAGTATTCCATCAGGTAAACTCACCACATTTTCTTAATTCATTCATCCATTGATGGATGCTTAGGTTGATTCCTTACCTTCACCATGGTGAACAGTGCTGCCATAAACATGGGATTGCAGATATCTCTTAAAGAAATCAGATATACAGATTTCTTTTCCTTTGAGTAAATGTCCGGTAGTGGAATTCCTGGATCATACAGTAGTTCTATTTTTAGTTGTTTATTTTATTTTATTTTATTTTATTTTGAGAGACCTCCATATGGTTTTCCACAACGGGTGTACTAATTTACATTCCCACTAGCTATAAATAGCCATAGATTTAAAATGATCAGCCATAATTCTCAAGGACAAAATTACAAGAGAATGTGTCTAAGAGTTTCCTTTTCTCATATCCTCACCAACATTTACTATTTTTCGTCTACTTTGATAATAGCCATTCTAACTAAGGCGAGATAGCTCACTGTGACTTTCATTAGCATTTCCCTAATAATTAGTGATGCTAAGCATTTCTTCATATGCTTGCTGGCCATTTTTATCTCTTCTTTTGAGAAATGTCTAGTCAGTTCCTTTGCCCAATTTAAAATCAAATTATTTGTGTTTTTGCTGTTGAGTTATTTGAGTTCTTTGTATATTCTGCATGATTCCCTTCCTCTATCTGTAGATTTTCTCCCAATCTACAGGTTGTCTCTTCACTCTACTGATTATTTCCTTTGCTGTGCAGAAGCTTTTTGGTTTAATATAGTCCCAATTGTCTATTTTTGTTTTTTGTTGCCTGTTTCTTTGAAGTCTTAGTCATAAAATTTATGCCTATTATCTATGTCCAGAATTCTTTCCCCTGTTAAACAATACTAACTTAAAGAACTTTCTAGCAGATAAATATTAACTGCAACGAACTCTCTTGATTTTAAGTTATACATGCTTGTTTTCTCTTCTATATTAAGCAGAACTCTTCAAGAAAAAAATTATTATTTTTATCATTGTCATTTCCCTTTTTGGATACCTGTCCCAGTCTAGGACATTGTATAAGTAAATATGGGTGCATGTGTGTGTGTTTAGAGTTGGCGCATTCTAAAGTTTCCATAGTAATACGAGTATTATTAATAGAAGATGATAAAGTAGTGCCATCTTGTGGGAAGAAGAGGTAACTGTCATGTTAAAAATTTCAGAAACCAAATTTCATTCCTTCAGGATGGGTGAGGATTATAACAGTAGATTTCTTGGTTATATTTTAACTGGAATCTTTCATTAAACACCAAAAAGGAAAATAAATGTGTAACTAAAATTTCCCCTCTCTTCTCAGAAAAAGAAAAGCTGCATAATACAATCCGGGAATTTTTTTTAAACCTGGTATAAATAGTCAAATAATATTCAGTCTGCTTTGAATAAACTCAAGGTATTAGCCAAGGAACATTTGAGAAGAAAAGCAAGAGTGAAAATCTAACCTCAGGAATGCTAAGATTTTATTTAATCATTTTACCTCTGAAGAGTAAAAAATCATTGGAACAATTCTCATTTTTTCTTCCAAATTTACTTCCCTTTCCATCAGATTCTTAATGCTTTCTGCCTCCCCTAAAGTTTCCCAAGGAAAAAAATAAACATTAATTTTGATAACATAATCAAATCACAGCTAGAAGAAAACTGACGTAGCTGAGAAATGGAGAAGAAAACTCACATTTAGTGCACCTCTGGGTTTTTTTTCATCTATGTGTGAAGGCAGAAGCCTCATTATAAATAAATAGTCCAGTCTCTAATTATGAATGACTGACACATAAGACAGACCAGTCAGTAACCCTGCAAGCAACACTCCAGCTAAGAGAAAACATGAGAAAAGAGCCTGGAAAAAGATCTTCCCCCAACCTCCAACCCCAGAGAGGTTGAAGGTAAAAGTAAGAATCCATAGTCCATCCTCACCTCATCAAACCAAATAATCAAGAACACATACTGAATTATCATGATGACCTCATACTAGCAATGTTCTTTTTCTTTCTTTCCTGCGTGTTTTTTTTTTCTTTCTTTTTTTTTTTTTTTTTGACAGAGTCTCCGCTGTTGCCCAGGTTGGAGTGTAATGGCACAATCTCAGCTCACTAAAACTTCTGTCTCCTGAGTTCAAGAGATTCTTCTGCCTCAGCCTCCCACATAACTGGAATTACAGGTGCCTACCACCATACCTGGCTAATTTTTTTTTAGGGGCGCAGATTTTATTAGAGATGGGATTTTACCATGAGGCCCAGGCTGGTCTCCAACTCCTAAAGTCAATCCACTTGCCTCAGCCTCCCAAAATACTAGGATTACAGGTGTGAGCCACCATGCCCAGCCTTCTTTCTTTTCTTTTGAGACAGAGTTTCATTCTTGTTGCCCAGGCTGGAGTGTAATGGTGCAATCTCAGCTCACTGCAACCTCCACCTTCCAGGTTCAAGCAATTCTCCCACCTCTGCCTCCCAAGTAGCTGAGATTACAGGCACTCGCCACCACACCCAACTAATTTTTGTATTTTTAGTAGAGACGGGGGTTTCACCATATTGGCCAGGTTGGTTTCGAACTCCTGACCTCAGGAAATCCACCCACCTCGGCCTCCCAAAGTGCTGGGATTACAGGTGTGAACCACTGCAACTGGCCATCATACTAGCAATTTTCTGATCAATTAGCAATTTTCTTATCAACTGAGGACACCTGCAATAACCTAAATGCTCCAAGTCTTCCAGTGTTTCATGATACATATTTTATAAGACAATTGCACACACTCAACATAAAACTGTCATGTTGCACTTTAAATCAAATTGCCATGCCATTAACAAACATCTTAGGAAAACACTAGAATCTATTCGAGCACTCTAATATATAGTACATATACCCACAGACAGGTATAGACATAGACATACAGATATTTCATACACATTCTATAAATGTGAAATCTGCCTTGTTCTGCCATCATCCTGCTCTGATACTAGAATCACAAAACAAAATACGATAGAGGTTTTTTGTTTTGTTTTGTTTTGTTTTTACATCAAGTAGAATACTTCATATTAAAGAACTTAATTCAGTGAATCAATATATGTCTGCTATGCTGATCAATAAATTTTGATTATCAGCCAATATCTATATGTACTGATTGATACGTTTCCTATTCTCTTTCGTTTCTCCTAACACATTACTAAAAGGATTTAGTAATCCTTTTACGTTGCTTTCACAATGTTTTAAAAAGCTTCTTTAGATTTACCGGGTGATCTTTGTGCCTGAAGGATTTTAACCCCCATGGGAAAGTACTTCAGGGTACTTGATACATTTTGTTGAAAGTGCTCACAACAATATCAGTGTCCCAGATACCAGATGACATCAGAGATCCTTGTGGAAGCAATGAACTTAATGATGAAATAGGAACAGTTTTGTTGTTTTGGATCTTCACAATGCCATGTGATGTGGGTTCAGTACGATCAGCTAAAAAAAGGTTCTGCTTCAATTTTGTTTTGTTTTGTTTTCTTTTCTTTTTTTTTTTTTTGAGACAGAGTTTTGCTCTGTGGCCACACTGGAGTGCAGTGGAACGATCTTGGCTCACTGCAACCTCCGCCTCCGGGGTTCAAGCGATTCTCCTGCCTCAGCCTCCCAAGTAGCTGGTATCACAGGCACGGCCACCCCACCTAGCTAATTTTGTAATTTTAGTAGAGACGGGGTTTCTCCATGTTGATCAGGCTGGTCTCGAACTCCCGACCTCAGGTGATCCGCCCGCCTTGGCCTCCCAAAGTGCTGGGATTACAGGCGTGAGCCACCGCGCCCGGCTCTGCTTCAACTTCAAAAGGAGTCAGTCAGTTAATCCATCAATGGGAAAGTGCGCTGAGAGTGAGATCCTCGTGTGCTCCTAATACCGTTTCCTACATGGAATCTCATCAGACCGTTCCACTAGAACCGTGAATCTAAGCCCGCAAGTGAAGATCCTCATTCAGTCACTGTGGCGCAAAGTGACTTCCCCGTCTCTTTCCCGGTTCTGATAAGCAGAGAAAACTGATGACAAGGGAGACACCCAAAAATCTTTCAAAAACACGAAAACAAGATCATACCTGAAGGTAAACTGATTCGATGTCCATCTTTGAGCTTTAAACGACTTCTCTTAAACTTCCCCTTCCTCTTCTTGACCTTGGGCTTCTCCTGGTTGAGCTGGAATATCAGAATGTTAAGTTCCCGCTCCAGCACGTCGATCTCGCGCTCCGCCAGCTGCTGCTCCCGCCGCTTCAGCAGCTCCTCCTGAGACTTCTGCTGGAGCGCCGCCCGGGTCAGCTCCTCTTCCCGGGACCGCAGCTCCTGCGACAAAGACCAACACCCACGGGGGTCATTCCCGGCAGGAAGAATGGAATCCCGCCTATCACACCACAGTGGCAATCCCTCGGTCACGGCCGCCTGTGCGCAAGGAGAAGCTGAAATTCCCTCTTCCTCTGCTCAAGCCCTGCACACGCGGGTCCTCAGGGGACGGAAGTCTTTGCAGTCAGGACAATCTGAGCTGAAACCTTTCCAGCACATTACTCACTTAACTGAAAGCCCCAGCCTCTGCACAACCGCCATTCTCCTCTGTTAGTTTTATGATCCTAAAAGAGGCACCATAAATTTTCTGCACTTGGTTTTTAACATTTCTCCCTCTTCATCTTTCACCTGACACATAAAATAGGCATTAACACACAACGGCAAAGTGCAGATGTGAATGACCCATTTCAAAATAAAGCCAAAAGTTCAAGCTCAATGAACTAAAGCATCATTATTTCAGTCATACAAGATTGCAGTTCAGACTACTTAGAACTTCCTTAGGGTATTTACAACTTTGCTGAGGGAATAAAATATCCTGGTGGAGAGATTAAGGGAGAAAATCAAGCTAAGGTGTTAGGAGTCTGTTGAAGGCCTGTTGGAAATGAAAATGAAGCCACCTCTAAAATTACAAGCCAAAGGAAAATATATTCTGTATACACAGAACTTTTCAGGATCCCACTGATGTATGGAAATGATCACTTTATAACAGATCTCGTGAGTTAGTTAATAAAAGTTCCTCTGTTATGATACTAATTAAAGTTAGTTTAATTTTACTAATTTTACCAGCCTCCTCTTGGTTTTGGTTTTTGAAGTACTGAACTTCTGAGAAACAGAAAATCTATGAATTTTTTAAAAAAATACTTTTATTCCTACTAGGAAAAATTATTAAACAGTAAAGCTGAAAACTCTACAAAGTTTTAAAATTATATCCCCATTTTTATTTCTATAAAATGTGTTCTGTTCTTTACCAGAGACATAATATTCCTTGCAGCACTGAACTATTTTCTATTCTAAATTACCCTGCTAAGAAATCAAGCATTCACATAGAAATCAAGGCATCTGCAAGCTTTTATTTACACTGCTCCAACAAATTTAATCTTACAATACCCTAATACCACAGTCTTTGTTCGAAACTGCAGATGCCTTTTCAGGTGGAGCTTTGGGCTGTGAGCTTTGAGAGCTATGAGTACTGTGCAAACATTTCCTACTTTATATAATAAGCAGACCACACTTTAAATAGGCCCACCTCAACAATGCTGATCCATGAAAATACACAGTAAGATTGGGGCTCCTGGAAAAAACTAGACCCAAACCATGAGACTAGAATGCAATTCAAATCTACTAATGACTTAGACTTTTTACAGGAGGACTCAAAGAGTAATCCGAGCCTATATATCAGTACAATTACCATATAGAAAATAAACACAGAAGACCATCATCCCACAAATAAATGAGACAATATCAAGAAGAGACTAGGGAGTACTAATAATAAAGATATTTATTTATTCAGATCAAACTGATTCTGAATTTATGGTAATTCTACCAAAGTGGACTGAAATTCCATTTTGAAACTTTCTTTAAATTTATTTTTAAAAACAAATTTCACAAGCCAAACTGCAGGAGAAATGATTTATTTTAGACCAAATGGTATTTAAATCACTTCAGCTAATATGTATCAGTTGGATTTTATTTATAGAGCAGATGGATATTTCTTCATTACATTGTGTCACATATAAATTATTACTTGAAAAAAAGGGGAAAATGTTACATGTTAAAAAATCTGTAATCCATTTTTTAACTAGTGACTTTTGTTCAACTAGTTTGTCCAAATTGGATCTTTTACTATAGTGTATTTGGAGGCAGAGGATAATTTCCAATCAACTTTCAATTTCTAACTCATTAAACCTTTTTGTTAAGATACTTTTCAGTGGTGTTGATATAAATCCAATTAGCTATTGTTAAATGAGAAAGAGATAAGAAGAGCAAATTCAATTAGGTCGTGCGTCGCTACGACAGTAATTGAATAAAAAATCATTTTTAATTCCAGGCCCCAAGCTAAATCACGAATCCCTGTGCAACAACTTCATGAATAATAAACAAAAAATCACTTGCCTAAGATGTGAAAAGAGAAAAAGATAAGATTGAAGAGAAAGCAGCAAAAGAAATCTTCCTTCTGAATAAATTTTAACACATTCAAAGGTACATTTTAAAACTGGGGTACTAGAACCCTTTGAATACTTAGAAAGTATGAAGCACAAAAAAATTCTTTCAGTTGATGAGATTACTTAGCAGTAATATTTGTTGAATTGCTTGGCACAGGCCACTCTGGTAATGGCAAATCCAGATCCCTGGCAGGGGCTGTTAATCATTAATGAAGGCATGCCTCTGTGTGTGTGGGTGTCGTAGACAGGTGCATGCACCAAATCCACAAAAACAGACACACAGAGATAAGGAGCCAGGAGTTTAGGGAGGACCCAGTGTCTGCGGAGGCTACGGCTTACTGAATAACACAGACCACAGCCAAGTTACTGACCATTAATTTCAAGTCTGATGCCTCCTACCTTAAGCAATCAGTGAACGAGAAAGGGAGATATGGCACGTACACTGTGCTTTTTACTTCATCAAAAAAGATGTAGCTGGAAACTTTTAAGCCAACAAAAAAGGATTATATGTGCTTTAATTGTAAATCCAAAGGCTCACAGGATATCATAAATGCTGTATTTCAAGGAGCAATGCACAAAAATACAATACAAAGTAAAAACAGATACTACTACAGGATAGCTCAAAAATAATTTAAAAAAAAAATAAGGAAATTACTATAAATCTCAAAGTGGAGAAACAGCTGACATCTACTCTTAAAGCATGCTTTTATTTTAATATTTAATTAAAAACTCACTAGAGATGCCTGTATCTTCCAGTTCCATAAATAATTGTCAATAACTAAATACAATTAAAATGAGTTAAAATAAGGCCAAGCCTGGTGGCTCACACCTGTAATCTCAGCAGTTAGGGAGGCCAAGGCAGGAGGATCATCTGAGGTCCAGAGTTTGAGATCAGCCTGGCCAACATGGTGAAACCCCACCTCTACTAAAAATACAAAAACAATTATTGGAGTGTGGTGGCAGGCACCTGTAATCCCAGCTCTACTTGGGAGGCTGAGGCTGGAGAATATATTGCTGGAACTCAGGAGGCAGAGGTTGCAGTGAGCTGAGACTGTACCACTGCACTTCAGCCTGGGTGACAGAGTGAGACTTTGGCTCCAGATAAAAATAATTAATAATAATAATAATAAATTTTCTTTTCTTTTTCTTTTTTTTTCTTTTTTTTTTTTTCTTTTTTTTTTTTTTTGAGACAGGGTCTTGCTCTGTCACGCAGGCTGGAGTATAGCAGTGCAGTCATAGCTCATTGCAGCCTCAACCTACCAGGCTCAATCAGTCCTCTCACCTCGGCCCTCACAAAGTGCGAGGATTACAGCTGCAAACCATCACACCCAGCCAGTAACTAATTGTGAATTACATCGCTTCCAAATTTTAGATTCTATGATTTGAAGCTTTATTTTTTTTTCTCAAAGTCTTCCCCTGTTCTTCAAAATCTTTTTCATTTCGTAATTAAATACCTAATTTTAGAATTCCTGGAAACAATTTGGGGAAGTATTAAAAAAACAAAAAAACAAATGAGAGTCTTTCCTGTATCATTTTAAGTCAACAAAGTGCATGAAAGTTTCCAAGAAACACGTCAATGATATCACTGATTAACAATGCTTCAAAGAACCTCAAGATATGAACAGTGCTGTTCCAGCCTGACTCTTTAGAGCCTGTTTCCCAAGAACGCCTGGGCTAGGACACCTTAGTGTCTGTGAAACATCACCACTTTCTTTTTTTCTGAGGCTAACACTTAACTTAGCACTTACTAAGAAGCAGGGCTCTGGCTGCTTTGCATACAGGACTCACTTAAGTGCCCCCCTGGGACACAGGGTTGCAGTGATGGCTCCAAAGATGAGGAGGTACCGAAAGTAACAAAGTCAGTCGGAGACCCCCAAAACAGCAGGCAGCAAGAGCCCAAATGCCAACAGGGCTAACTGGCTCAGAGTTCCTGGTTTTTACCATCACACTAGGCTGCTATTCCGGCATTCACAAGAGATTTAATATTTTTGAAAAGGATTGGTGGTGGCAGGTCAGGGGGGTGCTCTATCATATTTTTCAGACTCCCACATAGACTTCCCATTCAGTCTTGTCCTGGAGAAGAAAACAGGCCAGCCAGCTCCAGGGGATCGCAAGTTGTTCACTCGGAGACCGGATTGCAATTCCTGCAGGATTCACCCAGAGGTCCTACTGCTCAGCTCTGTAATAACATGCAACTGGTTTCTTCCCGCTCTACTTGAAAGTACTCCCCACACATGGGCAGCCCCTACGGTCCCCACCCCCCTGTATGCTGCTGTGTTCTTCCCATGCTTAGACTCCTGGACTTCCCCATCATCTCCCCCACCGGGAGGCTCCGTAAGATACGATGCTAGTACTCTGATGCAATTCTGTGTGTCTGAGCAGAACGGGGCAGATGGGATTGGTGTTTCTCATTTATCAACTCTAAGTACTCATTAATGGTATCATGGTCTTAAGTTGCATTAATTTAACTGTTGTGCATTTTTCAATGTAACCAAATACTGAAAAATCTAAAAAAGAGAGGGAATTACCTATACGTCTACTTTAAAAAATGACTTTAGGCTGGGCATGGTGGCTCATGCCTGTAATCCCAGCACTTCGGGAGGCTTAGGCAGGCGGAACACCTGAGGTCAGGAGTTCAAGACCAGCCTGATCAACATGATGAAACCCTGTCTCTACTAAAAATACAAAAATTAGTTGGGCATGGTGGTACATGCCTGTAATCCTAGCTATTTGGGAGGCTGAGGCAGGAGAATCGCTTGAACCCGGGAGGCGAAGGTGCAGTGAGCCAAGATCGTGCCGTTGCACTGTAGCCTGGGCAACAAGAGTGAAACTCCATCTCAAAAAATCAATGATTTTGGCAGCTTGTATGTTTTCCCTAACCATTATTTTTAATCATTTTACATTATAAAATATTTTAAATATACTGTCATTAGAGAGAATGACAAATATCCATGCACTCATATTTAACAGATGTTAAATTTTTTTTTTTTTTTTTTTTTTTTTTTTTTTTTTTTTTTTTGAGACGGAGTTTCACTCTCGTTACCCAGGCTGGAGTGCAATGGCGCGATCTCGGCTCACCGCAACCTCCGCCTCCTGGGTTCAGGCAATTCTCCTGCCTCAGCCTCCTGAGTAGCTGGGATTACAGGCACGCGCCACCATGCCCAGCTAATGTTTTGTATTTTTAGTAGAGACGGGGTTTCACCATGTTGACCAGGATGGTCTCGATCTCTCGACCTTGTGATCCACCCGCCTCGGCCTCCCAAAGTGCTGGGATTACAGGCTTGAGCCACCGCGCCCGGCCGGCCAGATGTTAAATTTTTACCGTATCTGTTTCAGATGTGCTAAAGCCCCAATTACATCATAGTCTAATCTTACCCCTCCCTCCCTAGATGGGCTATTCATAAATTGGTGAGCATCTTTAGCCTTCTTATACATTCGAATAGTATTGTTTTGTGTGTCTCATGCACTTATAAAAATGATATGTAATGTTCTTCTACAACTCTCTTTTTTTCCACCTAGTTTTATGTTTAGCTTTTACCTCATTGGAACACCTTACTAAAGTTCATTCATTTTAACAGCAGGTCCTGAAGTAACATTGTTTCATCATTACCTGGATGAGAAAAAAAACCAATGCCCAACCCACACCACTGTCTGTGTGGAGCCTACGCATTATCCGCATGTCTGCATGTGTTTTCTCCCACATCTCACAGATGTGTGCCTTAGGTGCACTGCCAAGTCTAAATGGTGCTGGTGTGATTTAGTGTGAGTGTGGGTGTCAGCGCGTCCTGTGATGGGACGGCGTCCTGTTCAGGGCTGGTTCCTGAGCTGCTGGGAGAGGCTCCAGGTTCCAGCCACCTGAGACCCTGAACTAGAATAACTGGGCAAATAATAATTTTCTTACTTATTTTTATCAATCTTTCTTTCTCTTTTTTTCTTAAGAGATGGAGTTTCGCTCTTGTCGTCCAGGGGCTGGAGTGCAATGGCACAATCTTGGCTCACTGCAACCTCTGCCTCCCAGGTTCAAGCGATTCTCCTGCCTCAGTCTCCCAAGTAGCTGGGATTACAGGTGTGGACCACCATACCTGGCTAATCTCTGTATTATTAGTAGAGACGGGGTTTTAGCATGTTGGACAGGCTGGTCTCGAACTCCTGACCTCAGGTGATCCACCTGCCTCAGCCACCCAAAAGCACTAGGAATACAGGTGTGAACCATGGCACCCAGTCATTAATAGTTCTTAAATGTTATGTATAGCTCACATTTGTTTCAATGTTTAATATTAGAAGGGCTTTGGTCATTATTTCAAAGTTTGGAGATGTTTTTGTGACCAGAAATATGCCGTCAAAACTTAACTCTTGTCATATCAATCAGCCTGTCGTACAATTGGTTTCATTATACATCATTTCATTTATAGTCACAGTTTCCAAGAACCTATCCACGACATTGAGCAAGGACTGACTGAACTATACAGATTTCCATTGCCTGAGAATATAATAGTTTAGGCATCTATTTCCCTGTTAATGGATATTGGGGTTGTTTTCAGCTTTGCACTATTACAAATGATGCTTAAGTGAACAACCATAAGTATGTTTCCTCGTGCACATGTTTGAGTTTCTGAAGAATCTATAAGTGGAAGTGGAACAGCTGAGTCATATGCCTCTATTACAGCATAAGATTCATAACAGGAATCATAACGTGTACACACTTTAAAATTCATTGCTCACTTTCAACAACAACGATAAGAATCGCTCATTAAAACAGCAATAATGATAATTGCCAATATCTCGACTATTAAAATAGTTATCAGGAGTATATTAACAAACTGTACTTGGGTTCACTTAATGCCTGTCATGTGCTGAGTCCTATGTTCAATGCTGTGTATGCAAATGAACAAGAACGTCAACGCATAGTTCATGAACTTACTATCTAGCAGAAAGGACAGACCAAGAACAATTACATCAGCAAGTATTAATACAGTATGACTCACTGCCATGATAAGAAAAGCACAGGGCACTCTGACCACCCACAGTTTACCTGGTTGAGCAAAGTAGGGGAGGAAGTTATGGGAGGGGCCACCACTCATGAAGTGGGCACAGAAGCTAAGGAGGAAAGAGGCCTCAGCAGAGGAAAGACCGTGTGCCAAGGCTACGGGCCAGGAGTATGACATCATGGGGACTGGAAGAGATTCAGTATGGCGGGGGATGGAGGCAGTGGAAATGTGGCAAAATATGTAAGGAGAAAGGGAGTGAACACCGCACAAAAATGGGCAATGGAAGCAGGGCTGACCAGATTTACATTTTAGAAAAAGAAGGGGACAGAGGAGGGAAGCAAGGCTGGACACAGAGCGCCTCGTGAGGAGGCTCCAGCAGCCATGCTGGTGATGAGTAGGCGGGTGGCAGGGATGAGGGCAGAAAATTGCCGCTGATGGTCTTTGTCACACAGAAGACCACAAGAACATTGTAAAAAGACCCTTGAGACCAGGTTCCTAGGAGAACAGTGATCCCATTATCATAAACAAGGGAAAGGGGGGAAGGCACAGGGAGAGTGGAGAGAAGCTTCGGCTTCAATGTCTGGCTTCAAGAGATTCTATGGAGCCCCATTTTAAAACTTGTCAACAAGGCCCGAATCACTAGCCTGGCATTCAAAGGACCATTCAAGGTTACAAATGCCACATCTATCTCTAAGTCCTAGGACACTGGCACTGTCCCTAGGATATAGTAAGAAAAATACCATTTAACACTGAAACTCAAAATGATCTCCCACAGACACGTCCTTAAATCACATTTTTTTTTGAAACGGAGTTTCGCTCTTGTTACCCAGGCTGGAGTGCAATGGCGCGATCTCGGCTCACCGCAACCTCCGCCTCCTGGGTTCAAGCAATTCTCCTGCCTCAGCCTCCTGAGTAGCTGGGATTACAGGCACACGCCACCACGCCCAGCTAATTTTTTGTATTTTTAGTAGAGACGGGGTTTCACCATGTTGACCAGGATGGTCTCGATCTCTCGACCTCGTGATCCACCCGCCTCGGCCTCCCAAAGTGCTGGGATCTTAAATCACATTTTTAAGAAAACATTCTGTATTTTGGGGAATGCCTATGACATTCCTTGTATCAATATGTACCTGTAATAACAGATAATGGGGAAGGGAAACAAATAAAATGATAAAATAATGACAATAAATAAAGCCAATTAATGCATACAAAGTGTTTATTGTGCTATTCACTGTCTCTCTTTTTTCCTTTGAAAGTTTCTCTAATTAAAGGGCATTTTCTCCAATTATTCATATGGAGTACACTTTTGTTTTGCTTTTATTTTTAACCTGAAAGAAAGTGAGAATCAACAAATATCGATATCTAAAAATATTTTAGAATAATGCTAACAGTGCTTCTTGCCTCATATTTTCCATAATTTTCATAAATTTGAATACATTATGCTATTTACAAATCTCTCTCACCTTTTCCTTTGTTCTCAGCTCATCGAACATTTGTTGAATTTCCAGTTTCCAGTCGTCTTGCATGGAATGAAAAGACTCTTGAGGCATCTCCGTCATAACTGCCACTTCAATGGCAGATAACTGTTCAAGAATTAAGGCAAACGATGGACGAATATGAGGGTCTTGTTGCCAGCATTCTAAAATAGACAAGAGTCACATTAATTCCATCTCACAACACAGTTCAGATTATCCCCAAGACATCAGAGTGGCTAAGAAATGTTTTACACTGAAGTGTATTTCAACTTAACACTTGTCATTTCTCCATTTATAGTATCTGCTCCTCAAGATTTTAAGAATCCATTGGCAATAGTTTGAATAGTTTATTTTACCAAGTGTCCACATCACAGGCATGCATAATAATGACTAGCAGAGAAGGCGGGTGCTGTCTATATTACACCACATTTAATAAATGGATGTCTGCTTCCCATGCTCTACTATGGACACCACGTTTCAGAGGGTTAAGCTACCATAACCAGACGATTTGATATCGAGTCATGTAACTCAAACAAAGTCTCTAAAATGTTATACCCACAAGAGAAGTTCTAAAAAAACGGCCTAACAAAAAGAGTTAGTTAACAATTTTTAAAAGATAAGGATCAAATAGACATGGTCCTGGCAAAATCACGCCTGTTAAGACCATAAGGCATTTCTGATCACTAAGTCAAATTTAAAATAGCAGATTTGGAGCCAGTTCAATACCGTATTTGAACTCTACTCATGTACTTAGTGAAAACTTGATTACTATTCAGTCGAGTTTTTTACATAAATAAGTTACTGATAAAACTGGATTGTTTTTAAGCTACTTAGTTCATCAAAACTTTACCAGATATTCTAGATCAAAGACTCAGATTCTAATTCTTAAAATACTAGGGTTGCTTAAAAGTACTTAAAAATCAGTGTCACAGAAATTGCTTTTTTGTTTGTTTTTTAAAAAAGGATATTCTAATGAGAAATGCTTGCCCCCACAAAGACACACACAAAAAATACCTTTCATCAGCTTGGCAAATGGCTCAGGGCAGGTGGATGGAATGGGCAAAGTGAGTTTATTGACCGCTACCCCATAAGCCACGGCGAGGCCATCAATGCCCCGATAGGGGACTTCTCCCGTGAGCAGTTCCCAGAGCAGCACTCCATAGCTAGAAAGCAAGGTTTTCATATGTTCAATGGGCTACATGGTGTCTTCTCCTTATGATGCACTTAGTGAGATAAACACTCCAACACCTTCATCCACTCCTAATAGGACACTCTTCTTCAGAAAAGTCCCTAAGTTCAAGACATCCCAAGGTGGGAGGTAGATTCAAACACATGCAAATACATTCCACCCCAGAAATCAAGTATGCATTCATTCTAGGAATTAAAACCACTTAATGAATAGGAAAGCGTAAGAGTAGCACATAACTGAATTAAACAGGGTCCAGAACCAGGTCACCCTTTAGGAGTAAGGTGGCTGTTTTGCTGTTTCTCCTTCTATCTCATTTTCCCCAGACTTAAAACCTCCTGAGGATTATTAGGACACAGCCCCACAGAAGTCTCATGGTGCATGCCACAGGACTGACATGGAATCATGCTGATTATTTGTAAATAGTTTTTTGAAACTGTTTCTCTTTCTGCCTCCCTTATATTTAGACGTGTTACTAATGTTTCTACCGTATTGCTGAACAGTAAGGAACAGAAAGAAATCAGTGTGGGCCCCCTCGCACCTGCTGGAGGCACATATGTCTCTTTTTGTAATGAAGGAAGCCAGGGTGAAATGGGAGTAAAAAACAAGGCACAATGAGTTCTCCAAAGCATCATCACACGTGATACAGATGCAGTCACAAACAAGAACAAGGCAAGGCGCAGAAGAGGATTTCTAAATGAATGTTCACAATGAAGGGCTGAATTTCAAAACACATCCATACCACAGACTGAGATATCCAAAATTCCATTTAGTACACAGGGGCACAGGCACAAGCCTTCTGCATTGTACATACTGATTCTCTTCTGCTATCCAAGTCGGTACGTTCGTTTTCTCTTATTCTTCTCCAGAACATAAAGTACACTCAGATATCTTTTGTTAAGTAAATTTAAATAAGAGTCACTCTGGTTGATTCACTTGACTTCAGACTGAAACACATAGCATGTAAGAAACAATGTCTTATTAAAAGACACAGAGCACGGTGGCTCACCTCTGTAATCCCAGCACTTTGGGAGGCCAAAGCGGGCGGATCACCTGAGGTCAGGAGTTCAAGACCAGCCTGTCCCGCATGGTGAAACCCCATCTCTATTAAAAATACAAAAGTGAGCTGGGTGTGGTGGCACATGCCTGTAGTCCCAGATACTCGGGAGGCTGAGACAAGAGAATCACTTGAACCCAGGAGGCAGAGGTTGCACTGAGCCAAGACATGCCACTGCACTCCAGCCCAGGTGACAGAACAAGACTCTGTCTCAAAAAAAGAAAAAAAAAAAAAAAAAGACACATAATTACAGCCGGATAATAGGAATAAGTACTCCTGTTTTATTGCACTATAAGATGGCTACAGTTAGCAATAACGTATTAGATGGTTTCAGATAGCTAGAAGAGAAGATGTTCCCAACACAAACAATTGACGTTTGAGATGATGGATATGTTAATTAGCCTGATTTGATCACCACACATTGCATGTACTGCAACATCACTACATACCCCATAAATATGTACAATTTTTATGTCAATTAAAAAATAAAAATAGCTGGGTGTGGTGACCACACCTGTAATTCCAGCATTTGGGGAGGGTGAAGTGGGCAGAATGCTTGAGCTCAGGAGTTCAAGACCAGCCTGGGCAACATGGTAAAATTTGTCTCTAAAAAAATACAAAAATTAGCTGGGCATAGTGGCAGGTGCTTGTAGTTCCCACTACTCAGAAGGCTGAGGTAGGAAAATCACTTGGGCCCAGGTGGATGTGGCCGCCGTAAGCTTTGATTGCACCACTGCACTCCAGCATGGGCGGCAGAGCAGGACCCTGTTTCGAAAATAAATAAATAAGATAAAAATGAATTAAGAGGAACAGTCATATTTGGTTTCCTCTTCAATTCTAGTAATATAGCTATTGAAGCTCTATTCATTTTCCTAATCTTTTAAAACCTCATTAGCTTTAACTTTTTAAAAAATGTGAAATTTAGAGGCCACTGAATTATTTCTGACATGTGTTGGCTATACATAACCTTTAAGCATAGTTTGAAAGATAACAGACAGAGGGATGGCAGTAATTATTTGACTATCTTCTTAGCTTAAGGGAGGTGGGGATTCATATCACAACACAATGGAAAGAAGCCTGCTCTGAAGACCTGATCTGCAAAGTGCTGAACTTCATGTCATTCCTGGAGATGATCACTTTCAAATTAAAGGCTTCTTCATTAGTTCCTACTGGTACTACTGAGTACATAATAAAAATATAAGAAAAAGAATCTAGAAAACAACAGGACTTGCCAAACAATGGCCTCAGGGACACACCATCTAAGGTTCCAGGGGCCCTACGCAGAGGTATTTGAGCCCTGAGCCTGTGAGTCCCAGACTTGTGCTCTGAAGAATCCCAGAGCACCACTGAAAAAAAAACTGGATTTCAACCTGAGTTTCAGCTTTGCTGGTATTACTGCTTGCTCACTAGCTATTTCTCCCTCACAAGGCCCTTAAAGCTGATCTTCAGTGAACTCTTCTACCAAACAATAGTGAGACCCACTCTACTACCTCAAAACATGGTTTTATTTTAAAAAGGAAATATAATATATATATAATGTACTACCTGTCAATTACACAATGCTATAACTGTTAGCTAAAGTTGAAATCATTATTTTCCAAAGCTTATCTGCTTCCTTTTGATAATTTTCTTAAAATTATCAAATTTTAAATAATCTGCATTAGAGGAAACACATTCATAATTTTAAACATAAGTAAACTTAACTCATAGATCATTTAACAAAAACAAAAAAAATTCTTACATGGAATAATTAAAATGTTCTAAATTTAAAAAAAAATCCTATTAACAAATAACAAAATTTTAAAAATAGCCGTATAGCTCTGCTTCTTGGAAGTTTCAGGGACAGAATAATCTGGGATAGATCATTTTTCCAGAGAGAGGAGTGCTTACCCCATGAAAAACCAATGTGAAAAACAGTGTAACTATTTCAACGGAACTACTTCTAAAGTATACTACATATTTTCCTCTTCTCTTAAATTGGGTAGAAGATAGTATGATGAAGCCCTCTCCTGAGAACTCAAGAAGTGTAATGACTTGGGGCTGTGGTGTCAGGAGCCGTGGATCTCCTGAACCTAAAGTCTGCTTCTTAGCAGTTTTATAACTCAAAGCAAATTTCTTAACTTCTCTGTGCCTGGGCTACTTAACCTACAAGACCAGGACAATGATAAGAGTTGTACAAATTAGATAATGGCCTGGCGCCATGACTCATGACTATAATCCCAGCACTTTGGGAGGCCGAGGTGGGTGGATCACCTGATGTCGGGGGTTTGAGACCAGCCTGACCAATATGGAGAAACCTGTCTCTATTAAAAATACAAAAAATAAGCTGGGCATGGTGGTGCATGCCTGTAATCCCAGCTACTCCAGAGGCTGAGGCAGGAGAATCGCTTGAACCTGGAGGTGGAGTTTGCAGTGAGCTGATATCATGCCATTGCACTCCAGCCTGGGTGACAAGAGCGAAACTCTGTCTCAAAAAAAAAAAAAAAATTAGAAAACAATATCTAAGTGCATAAAACAGTTACCTTGTAGTATAGTAACTGTTAGAAGGAAGGAAAGAGAAGAAAATCAAGAAATATAAAGTCGCCGATCCCTAGCACTGCATAGGTAAAGCAATGTTTTTTGAATGAAACTTTATGGAAATATGATAAAAAGAGACTTTACAGCAATGGTGTCTATAATTCAAAGAGACGACCTGCTCTGCTCTTGCCTATCCTGATATCCTACAATGTGCTTTTGTATATGAATGGGTTCTGGAGATATGCAGGGATGTTTGACCCCTTCAACTAAGCGGCTCCAGAAGGCAGTAATTTCTAGTCCTTTTCATAATACAGTCAGCTCTCCACATCCACAGATTAAAGCAACCATGGACGGAAAATATTCAGAAAAAAACAACAATAAAAAATAACAATACAACTTTAAAAACAATAAAGAATGACAACCATTTACACCGAATTCACATTGTATTAGGTAATAATAAGTAATCTAGAGATACTTTAACCTACACGGGAGGATGTGCACAGGCTATACGCAAACACTACGCCTTCTTATATCAGGGACTTGAGACTTAAGCTAATTAGAAGAGGGGAGAGGGATGCCAAGCTAGTAACAGGAAAAAATGTTGGCTGAAGAGTAGGTGATGGAAAGAAAAACATTAGATACAGTGGACCATCGGTATCTTCTGTTTTTAATGAAAATCAGATCATCGCACTTTGTAAATAAATCAGTTTTGAGAGCTGAATTCTCTATGGAGCGTATGGGGCTTAAAGACCTATATTTTGGTTAGTTTTAGCAACTTTCTTTTCCTTTTTTCTTTTTTGCTTACTTCTTGATTCTCCTCTATGTTTATGATAGACAAGATTGCTACAGAGCATGACTGCATAGCATTCCTATACCTCCTTATTATAAACTATGCTTTTAATAAAAGTATATACAAAATAATATATTTTAGCCGTGTGCAGTGGCTCAAGCCTGTAATCCCAGTGCTTTGGGAGGCCGAGGCGGGTGGATCACGAGGTCAAGAGATCGAGACCATCCTGGTCAACATAGTGAAACCCCGTCTCTACTAAAAATACAAAAAATTAGCTGGGCATGGTGGCGCGTGTCTGTAATCCCAGCTACACAGGAGAATTGCCTGAGCCCAGGAGGCGGAGGTTGCAGTGAGCCGAGATCGTGCCATTGCACTCCAGCCTCGGTAACAAGAGCGAAACTCTGTCTCAAAAAAAAAATAATAATAATAATATATTTTAAGACTATGAGATCTTATAAACTATGCTTTTAAACTTATAAACTTTTATAAACTTTTATTAAAAGCATAGTTTGTAAGATCTCATAGTCTTAAAATATATTATTTTGTATGTAAAATTGATTTATGATGTGTTTTAATAGTTTTAGAGTCTTTAAGTATAATATCTTAAAAAGATAGCCAGTGTCCCTTGTGTAATTTAATATTTTCATGTTTGAAAATTACCGTAATTAAATCAATAAAAACACACTTAACAGTTTATAAAAACACATATGCTCAGCCTTCACCAGTAGAGAGCCTAATTCATCAAGGGGTGAGGCTCAAGCACCTGTATTTTTCAAATTGGCCCTAAGTTACTATAGAACCCCTGATTCAATTGATAATTTCCTTAGAAGATTTAAATAGAACAATTAAGTCATAATTTTAAATGCAGAAGATAAGCTTTAAATGTAAAGGAGTTTTATGAAACTTTTACTGACGGGGGCTCTGCCACTGACTTCATGTGTGAATTTGAGGGAGTAACTTCCAGTGTATCCAAAGATTTAAAAAGAAAAACAATTTTTGTTGAGCTTGCATTTGAGAGCTAGACAGATCTGGGTTCTTATAAGATTCTGGCGCTTACAAGCAATGGACTCTTGGCAAGTATTTTTCCTCTCTCATCCCTAGTTTTCTTTCTTTTCTTTTTTCTCTTTCCTTCTTTTCTTTCTTTCTCTTGCTTTCTTTCCTTCTTTCTTTCTCTCTTTCTCTTTCTCTCTCTCCCTCGCTCCCTCGCTCTCTCCCTCCTTCCCTCCCTTCCTCTTTCCCTTCCTTTTCTCTCTTTCTCTCTGTCTCTCTTTCTTGAGACAGAGTCTTGTTCTGTTACCCAGGCTGGAGTGCAATGGAGCAATCTCGGCTCACTGCAACCTCCGTCTCTCAGGTTCAAGTGGTTCTCCTGCCTCAGCCTTCCAAGTAGCTGGGATTACAGGTGCTTGCCACCATGACCAGCTAATTTTTGTATTTTCAGTAGAGACAGGGTTTCACCATGTTGGTCAGGCTGGTCTCGAACTCCTGATCTCAGGTGATCCATCCACCTTGGCCTCCCAAAGTGCTGGGATTACAGGCATGAACCACTGTGCCCGGCCTCCTAGTTTTCTTTTATGTGAAACAAGCAAAAAGCAAATAATAACAATAACAAAAAAAAACCCAAACTATAACTTTAACCATGAGATACCACTTTATACCTACAAGGATGGCCAGAATCAAAAAGTCAGATAACAAGTGACAGGGAAGATAGAGAGAAATCAGAACCCTGACACTTTACTGGTGAGAATAAAAAAAAAAAAAAAGGCAGTCACTTTGGAAAACAGTTTAGTGGTTCCTCAAAAGGTTAAACACAGAATTACAATATGGCCCAGCAATCTCACTACTCCTAGATGTACAATCAAGGAAACTGAAAACACACGTCCTCACAAAAATGTGTTCATGAATGTTTGTTATCAGTTGTATTTGCAATCACCAAAAATGGGAAACAACCCAAATGTTCATGTACAGATAAATGGGTAAACAAAATGTGGTATAGAAATACTCTATTATTAAGCCATAAAAATGAAGGAAGTACTGATACATGCTGTGACATGGATGAACCTCAAATCATCAGGATCAGTGAAAGAAGCCAGTCACAAAGGAGTATTCTAAGATTCCACTTACATAAAATGTTCAGAATAAAGAGATCTGAAGATATGGAACACAGATGAGTGGTTGCCTAGGGCTGAGAGGGCAGGGGAAGTTGGGGATGATGAAAGAAGGGTGACAATGAAAATGTTCTGAAATCGACTGGAGTGATGGACACACAACTTACTAACATACAAAAACCATCAAATTGTACAATTTAAATGTATCAGTTGCATGGTAGGTGAATCATATCTCATCAAACCTGTTAAAATCTTTAAAAAAAATGGAATTTTAATAACACAAGATTTTATTTTGGTTTTTACATCTATCCTTTTTAAAAATTTTTCTCAACTTTCATTTTAGATATACGGAGTACATGTGCAAATGTCACCTGGGTAGGTCGAGTGATGTTGAGGTTTAGGATACAAATGATCCCGTCGCCCAGGTACTGAGCATAGTACCCAAGAGTTGATTTTCCCCTCTCCTTCCCTTCACCTTCTATTAGCCCCCAGTGTCTACTGTTGCCATCATTATGTCCCTGCATACCCAATGTTAAGCTTCCACTTATACGTGAGAACATGTGATATCTGGTTTTCTATTCCTACATTAAGTCACTTGGGATAATGGCTTTCAGCTACATCTGTGTTACAAAGGACATGATTTTACTCTTTTTATGGCTGTGTAGTATTCCATGGTGTATATGCACCACATTTTCTTTATTAGCAGGATTCTGTGAGCATTAAACAATGGCAAGTAGTTCTAGATGCCTCATAACTATTAAACAGTATGATTTTTCTTTGTTGTTTTGTAATTGCTCGCATCTTTCTAATGAGAAAAGCTGAATGGAAAGTCAAAATAACCTGGTGATCCATTTGAGGGCAACTCCCAGTCTTCAAATAGAAGGCTTTAATCTTTAGATGAAGCAATCTATAAAATGAAGGGATTAGTCTAAATTTTTTTCTCAAACTCCTTCCATGCTAATGTTGTCTGTGAGTGACAAGGAATTAAAAGTTTATTAAAAACATCAATTCAGGCTGGGTGGAGTGGCTCACACCTGTAATCTCAGCACTTTGGGAGGCCGAGGTAGGTGGATCACTTGAGCCTAGAAAGTCAAGACCAGCCTGGGCAACACAGTGGGACAACCCTCCCCAACAAACTTCTCTACAAACACACAAAATTTGCCAGGCGTGGTAGTGCACATCTGTGGTCTTGGCTACCCAGGAAGTTGAGGCGGGAGGGTCACATGAGCCTTAAAGTTTGAGGCTATAATGAGCCAAGACTGCATCATGGAACATTCACTGTTATTCACTGGCACATCCTACAAAATCTTGGGCATTTGGTGTTAATACAAATCAACCAGTTTTAACTAAACTTATGATTTAACAAGAAAGGCCTCCTCTGAAATGGAGTCGTATGACAATACAAACCTCCACTTATCTGTTCCATTGTCATGACAATTATTTTGATCAAAACCATAAAAATTTATTCAAAAAGGCCTATGCTGAGAATTACTGAATACTTTGAGACTCACTGAAATGAAGCATATCAAGCAGTTTCTGCAGATGTTTGCAAAAGGAAAGGCTCACCTCCAGATGTCACTTCCCTTAGAAAACAAGGAAGACTTGATCACTTCGGGGGCCATCCAGGCATAGGTGCCTGCTGCGCTCATTTTGGTGGTTCTGTGCCATTCCCTCGGCAACCCAAAATCTGTAATCTTCAATGTTTTATTGCAGATGTCATCATGCTCTATCTTCTCAAGTAGCAAAACTACAGAAAAATCAAAAGTGGGACATTTGCATATTCGTTTAATTTTTCTGTCACAATTTTCTGTCCATGGCATGTAAAACACAATCTTCGCTGTAGTTGGCAGAATAAACAAGCATAAACTTGTGTTTTACCATTTTACTTACAGCACACACATTATAGGCTTCAGTGGGTTATTTGTGCTTGAAGTTACAAGTTATTTTCAGATACAATTTAATGCTGTTTATGAGTAGTTCTCTTTCTGAGAAAGTAAATGATTTCTAAGAGCGAGAAACATTTCCTGAGATATCACATGTAGGATTAGAAGTCTGTAAAAGTTTACCTGATATGAAAAAAATATATTGTTTTTTGACCTAAGTACAGAATCTTTTCTACTGAAGATAAGTGGAGAATATTGAAATTAGATGATATATTACCATAGCTCATTATTATCAAACATTAGCATACATTAAATTTGAAAGGCTGGGCTCAGTGGCTCACGCCTGTAATCCCAGCACTTTGGGAGGCTGAGATGGGCAGACCACAAGGTCAAGAGATCAAGACCATCCTGACCAACATGGTGAAACGCTGTCTCTACTAAAAATACAAAAATTAGCCGGGCATGGTGGCACATGCCTGTAGTCCCAATTACTCGGGAGGCTGAGGCAGGAGAAACACTTGAACTCGGGAGGCAGAAGTTGCAGTGAGCCGAGATCGAGCCACTGCACTCCCATCCTGGCGATAGAGCAAGATTCTGTCTCAGTAAGTAAGTAAGTAAGTAAGTAAGTAAGTAAATAAATAAATAAATAAATAAAATTTGGAAAGTGTTTATAGATTCTTTAACTTATAAAGATAATGTAGGAGAAACAACTGCTTTGCTGGAGCTCAAAATACAGCAGAAATTAAACACAGAAGTCATCAGTCACTGGTTTTCCCAGTGCCAGCCCCCTGCCAATGTAGAGGATGTACAAGGGCAATTCTCGGTAGTGGAGCTGATACCAGCATCTGTCCCTGAGCTCTGGTGTAGCTCTGCAGCTACAATAAATGTGCTTTCATTCACTCCTCGCCTGCACCCTCCTACCCTGCCCTTTCCAGCACCTTCAGCTCCTCTCCCTGTGGCTGATCTGCCTCTGCCTAGAACTATGTAGAAATGTTCCCTAGGTTGCCCATAAGGCTCTAATGCACCTGGAAGCTGCCACCCTCTCCTGTAGCTAATCCTTCTATAGAGAGAGGAGAGGATATCTGGTTTGTAGAAGATAATCATAAAGAGGGTCATTTTTAACTAATGTTAGTTTTAGTAATAATTAACACTTCTAAGTATATTCTATTTGTCAGGTGAGATTACAGGTATTTTAGTTACATAAGCCATACCACAATGCCATAGGTAGATCCTATTATCTCCTCTTTATACATAAAAGCACTAAGGAACAGAGATGTTGCATAATCTGTCTAGGGTCACTCAGCTAAGGTGCAGTGAAGCTCAAGCAGTTTGACTCCAGAGCCTATGGTCCTAACCACTAGGTACACACTTAGTTGACAGCTTGCACTAATTTTTTTTACAAGATCTTTCTTTATCCTTTGGAAATCTCCACTGAGGTACCCATTCTCCTCCCTTTTGATTTTCTGTCGTTGGTCATTGATTAACTGAACTAAATAGAGGCAGTGGAGAGTGGTGAGAAACTGCATGTTTTCTAGGGCCAACCTGCCTGGTTTGGATCCCGTGTGCTTCTGCTTCTTTGCCTGTCTTGTGAATTATGATCATACCTACATCATAAGATTGTAGGGAAGAGTAAAGGAATAATGTAAAGTGCTTAGAACAGTAGCTGAGGCATGGTAAGCCATTGGTAAGAATTACACACACACACACACACACGCACGCACACACACATACACTTTTATCAATGGCTTTAAAAGAGTTTTTATCAAGTCTTCAAAATCACTTTCATGAACTTCAGGAAATCCTGCCTCTTTTTCACAATGGATGTGCATTTTCATTGCATCGTATTGTCAAACATTTACAATATCAGGTAGTCACAGGAGTTAACGCATTGGAGAGAACCCAATTGGAGGAACTAATGCTGGGTTTAAACGTGGAAGGTTATTTGAGTAGGGACTTATTAAATAAGTAACTGATACTGAATAAATATTGTTGTGTTGTAACTTTTTTTCCCTTGTCATCTGGTAACTGAAATCTATTCTATTCTCATTGTAAATACAAAGAATCCAATTTAGGATGGTTATATCCCCATGGATACACAGTGGCTAAATAGTAAGGCCAAAATGCTACCATTTTTCCTACTCTTAATGCTATGCTACATAGGGAGGGATGAATGAAAGGAGGGTAAGAGAGGCAAGGAAGAGGGAAATCAGAGACTCACTTCCCTTTGAAATAACCTTTCATATGTCCCAATTGTCAAGGGCCAGCTTCCTAGAAAAACCTCCTTAAGCATCCCGCAAAATTGCGAATGATTTTATCTTCCCTCTCATTTGCTACCCACATATGACTTTATCAGTTATCTTTTTACCTAAGACTTCTCTACCTAAGTTATGTACAAGCCACTTAATCTCAGGAACTGTATTTTATAGCACTCTGTGAATCCTCCATATCACCTAACATAGTGCCTTGTATATCACAATGTTCAATGGAATATCATTTATTAATGATAATTATCACCTATTCAAATAATAAGAATATTGCCCACCATTTACCAACCCTCTGCTATGCGGAGTTGTTTCCATGCATTTAATATTTCATTTGATCGTGACACTATTCTATGAGGTGGGAATATAATCTCCAGCTCAGAGCCTAGAAATGTTATCCAAGATCGAAGGGCTAAAACACAGAGCTGGAGTTCATCCCCAGCCCTCTTCTGTGCTGCTCATAAAGCTATTGGTTATAAGAAGAGGGCAAAGCAACCAGATATTTCATTTTGTGAGATTGATTTTTGAATGTTCCATCTACATCAGCTAAAGGCATATTTATTTCTCAGTCCTTATTCCCTATGAATATAAAGAAAAATAACTACCTACAGAAAAAGGGATTTAGGTCCCCAATCCTTTAAACCCCATGTACTTAAACCACAGAAAGAAGCTGAAACAAACAAACAAACAAAAGCAGGTAAATTAATTAGCTTTTCATCAGTTGCATTATGCTTTCCTTCTAGAAATGCCATTAATTTCACCTTTAAACAGTAATTGTTCCTACCACCAAAAATACCACAAATTCATGATCAAAATGGATTGTAGTTCTATAAAACTTTGTTTCTCAAAGCATTTTTCTACACATTATCTCCACATTCTTACAAACATCCAGACTTGAGAAACAACTGATGAAAATAGGCCTCAAAACACTTCCTTGCCTCCTGACCCACACCCAAGACCCCAAGTAAGGGCTGGCAGCCCTTGCAATGCCAAGCCCAAAGGTCTAAAATAGTGAAAACAGAGTCAAAGTGAGAACTAAACACCAAACATTAACAAACTTTATTCCCAAATAAATGTGATGGCAGCATATATTTGCAGACTTTCTGACAGTTTCAGAATACCAGCCCCCATTCCCCAGGTCCAAAGTTTTCACTGGAACCAACATGTCCACACCACACCGTCAGCTCACAGAAAACAAGTTAAAATCATACTCCAAATGTCAACCCTTTAGGGTTCCATGAAAGGCCCATTGTTTTGGATTCCATTTCAGAGGTGTTCAGCAGAATTCCTGAAATTCCTTATCTTTTGGGCAATGTGACCGAAACCAAAATAGCCCGTCTCACAACAGGTAACATAATGGGGCACACTGCCAGGTTTCTGCCTGAAGACACATGGTTGGCAGCCAGCTTCCGCTTCCTGTCATTCATGCAGGAACAACCACAGTGCACTAGCTGGCCACCATGGATTTTCATGTACAAACCAGGCAAATCAACTTTTTTGGCCACAGAAATGGTAAATTCTTGTGAGTATCCTAGCAACAACTGTTTGAGCACCGTTTTGGGTGACTTCAGCAAAGATTTTTGACCCTTGTTAGCCCTATTCTTTAACAGTTGGCCTTTACAACCTTGTACTTAGCCTACTTATTCAACCATGAGGCACTGAATTTCTTCAGCTCCTGTGAAGTTTTCACATTGGTATTTTCAGAATTATTGTATATAATGTATATTTTTTTAAAAAGCAATCACTATGCACTCCATGTTCTCAACATCGATGGGATCACTGTGTCCAAATTCCATTTAATGAGTCAAATGAGTTTCGCTTAATCTTTAACTGTTAATGTAGCATCCAAAAAAAAGTCATCAGCAAGAAAACAAGTTGAGAAAAGCAATAATGTAAAAGAATATATGAACAAAAAACTTCATGAAACTTTATACATTTCAACTTTGAGAACAATCCACAATTTCTATGGAATGAATGATAACTTCCTAATTTTACCATATAGGGTAGAACGTTTCTCACACTTCTTTCCACCCATTCCCCAGTGGTACCTGTTCCCCTTCACCCCTAGCACCATCTGCCTTCCCCCTTCCCCGACCCCCACCTTGGACACAAACCCCATGCACTATCCAGCCTACAGAGTAAAGCCCACCCTTTCATTTTGGCCTTTGTCCCTTCTCAATCTCATTCTAAATGATCTTTCCATCTCTCTTTTGTACTCTCCTGAATGAACTCTATATTCCAACAATTCCGTGTGCCATTTCCGAACACTGCAGCATTGCCTTTTTCTGTCTTCCTGTGCCTCCTTACAGAATGGAATGCCTTCCTCTTCTGCCCTCTATAAAACTCACACTTTCTTCTGCACCTCCCACTCCATCCGGGCACCAGAACTGAGCCCTTAGTCCAGACCACCATGACATTAACTGTGAAGCCACTTACAAGCACACTGGCCTTTGGAATCTCAACACTTCCTGCTCCATTATTAGATGAGTCTATAAGCAACATCTTCCCATTGCCTTTTGCCTAAACTCAGCTATTTCTCTGCATTCTAATCCACTTAGACTGTACCTTTCCCATTACACTTAAATCCTGCCTTGTCTTCTTTG